AGAGAGAGAGAGAGAGAGGAGGGCTTCAGATCCCCAGCAGCTGGAGTTGCAGGTGGTTTTGAGTCTTACCCCATGTGGGTGCTGGGAATGGAACTCAGTATTCTGGAAGGGTGGCAAGTGCTATTAACTGCTGAGCCATCCCTCTCAGCCCCCAAATCATGTACTTTTAAAAGTCTGTGATGAGCTGAGTTTTTTTCTTTCAAGAAATTTTTTTTCCAGAACTTCCTTTCATCTCCTTGTCAATACTATGCATTTTTATGAAACTTGTTTTTTTCTTCTCTTAGCAGTTAAACGCTTGTTTTCTGCCCCTTGTCTGCTTATCCTTACCAGCATCATCCCTGAATGGGTGGAGCTGTTTGCGTCTTTTGCTGAATGTCCAACGCCAGGCAGTGTCTGGCCTGCCCTCCTCCAGCTGCTTTATGATAGATCACAAGCAACTTTACCGACCACTTACTATGTGCCAGACCTTACACTAATTATCTTCTCATCACAATCCTATTAGACAAGTTCTGGTATACTACCCAAGTGACATATTACAGATGTCCCTTGGAACATCTAGTAAGTGACAGGATTGCAGTTCAAACCCATCTACCTGCCAAACAGTGTCCTTTAAAAAAATTATTGGGCTTTTATACATTTCTACAATAGTTTGTAATCAAATTTAGACCCCATCCCCCATCCACACCCACCCCCCAGACCTCATGTATTCCATCATACATATTAAGTACCATTCAGTTAAGCATTTGTACCCAGATGACCCTTGGTGCAAATTCATCCACTGGAGTCTAGTAGGCCTATCTAGAGATTATAAGGAAGATCACTCTCTCACCCACATGAAGAAGAATGTACTCAAAATATCTGTGAAATAAATGACTATTTTCCTGTTCTGTTTTTAAGTGATCTCACCCATTTAAAGAATAAGTGCCTAAGGTTTAAAGCTAATATTTCTTTGAACAGAAAAGGAAAACCAAAGGCAATCTAGTGCCAGAGGAGATAGGGCTCAAAGGCAGGGGATTTGGTTTTTATTATTATTATTATTATTATTATTATTATTATTATTATTTACATGCATATAGAGGTGGAGGTCAGAGGATAACTTGCAGGAGTTGGTTCTCTCTTTCCATCATATACGTACCAAGGATCAAACTCAGGTTATCAGACTTGCCTTTACCATCTCGCTGACCCTAGAAATCCTTTTTTAATAATCAGTCAGAAAGCTTTTGGTGAAAGGATTGCCAGACTTACATTTTATAAGAAAAGGGGACAGGGGCACTAGGGAGATGACTCAGTCAGTAAAGTGCAGGCCTCACAAGCATGACAACCTGAATGTGGATTCCTGACACCAGGTGAAAAGCCAGGTGCAGCAGGCCACTCCTGAAGTCCCAGCACTGGGGAGACAGACCAGAGGATGGATCCCTGGAGCTCAACTGGCCAGTCAACCTAGCCAACAATCTAGCCAAATCAGTGAACTCCAGGTTAAGTGAGACACCTTCTCAAAAAATAAGGCGAAGAGCAACTGTGGAGCACACGTGGACCTCTGGCTTTTACATATGCAAGCACACACGCACAGTAAAGATACATAGTTTAATCTGAATCTCAGATAAACAGCAAATTTTAAGTGTAAGATTTCCTCAAACACTGCATGAATAGCCCATGAAATATCTGACATGCTTATACAGAAGTATTATGTATCGTTTCCTTGAAATTCAAATGTAATCAAGCATCTTCAACTATACCTGGCAATCTGGGCATAGGGGTGGGGACTCTTGCCATGTATTCTGGCCTACACTGGGTTCTCTAAAACTATGGAAAGCTG